CGTTTGTATTCTTTGGCAATGGTGCTAGAAACTTGATCCACCTCAATTATTATCACAATAATGAAACTCGTGGTAATGACACCAAAAAACTTGATATGCTCCCTAGCAAATTGATTAAATTCTAAAATCAGATTTTCCTACGCACTGAGGTATCTCTCGCAAGTATACGTAACATTTCAATAATATAGAGCTCTAAAGAGTCCAGGATGTTGAACCCACAGAAATCAACGGGAAGCTAAAGTAGGAAAATGTTCTAGTTAACTAAATTTATTCTTTGTTTGGAATTTTGAAATACAAGAGTTTTGCTAATAAACCTACTGCAATTATCTAAATTTACACGTGTATGATTTCTAACTATGGTATGTGAAGTGGTTTTGAAAAGTGCTAAGAATACTTTTCCTTGTGGTGATAATAATATAGTGTGGAAGTGGAAGAAAGGCCAAATAAAGTAGAGTTTTGTGACAAATAGAAGTATAAATCCTCTTGGCCCTCTTTAAAGCCTATAAAGAATTTTTGTTCAAATTAGTGTGGATTCTAGGCTGTCACTCTAAAGATCCCCAATTTGTAACCCATTAAGTTTTATCTCCCTAATATTTGCATTTACCTATAGTGTACTTAGATTCATACTCTATAGTTTAATGTGATTTTTCTAGTTGTTTATGCAGTAGCTCTTCCTGTAGCTCTTTTGAGTCCTTATGGGTTAACAACATATTTTAATAGGTCAACTGGCCATATTGAAAAAAAAACTTAGTGAAAAAGAAAAATCATCACAATTTAGAATATAAATTATTTCAGCATTCAATCCAACATTCCCACACATCTACCACATCGAAAAACAAGTAAATCTACCCAAAAAGCATGGATACAACAACACTAGAATGCATTGAGATAAAGAGGTTTGACATACAAATGTGTTTCAAAAAAATCATAATTCTAAATCACAAATATACTTATCTCTCTCCCTCAATTTGCCTTGATGATGTTCAACCCAAGCCCTTGCTCTTCTTCAGTAACTCCTTACAAAAAAAACACTCACAAATCACCACACACACATCTAGACTTGCTTAGAACAAGCCTATAACACTGCAAACACAGGAGAAAAAATCCCTCCAAAACTCTCTCACATACCTCTTCAACTCCCTGCCTCCTCCTCTATAGTTTTCCTTCTCCTCCTCTTCATTTTCTTCCAAATTGCTCTAAAATTCACCTTGAAACCGTTGTTGAATTGCTCTGAACCGTCTTAAAACTGTCTAAAATTTGGTTATGGCGCCTAGGCGCCACTCTATTATGGTACGACCTTGGCCTTCATGACTGGGACCATGACACCTAGTGGTTGGCGCCTAAACGCCAACCTCTCAGCTTGCATTTTACTAGACTGAAGCCTAGGCGCCATGGCCTTGGCCTTCAGATTGAGGCCAATGCACCCAGTATTTGGCACCATGGCACCAAGCTCCCCGGTACTTTGTTCTATGGCCCTGACCTTCACAAATTATTTTTTCTTCAAATCTTCTCCTTTTCGCTCTGTGTTTCTTCCACTTCGTTCCACTCCTAATATATGTTATACCTGCAAGAAAAACAT